GTCTGCACCGAAAGTATGGAAACTTTATTTGATAGAAAAACATACTTTCATGGATTTTTTTTTTCAACTTTGGTACACTTTACATCCTACAATGATGTGTCAAATTTGATCTTAATATAAGCCATATGTGTAAAGTTATGCAACAAAAACTGCTCAATTTTGACCAAAAGTTTTGCACATGCCTATGCAAAAAGTCATGTGAGTTATCATTCTGAAATCTTTACTACAGCTTAACGTACAAATAAAGGTGGACCATTTTTAGCTTTTTGACATTCAGATGAAAGACTGCTGATTTAAAGCAGCAAGGCTATAGGGTGAAAGCACATGCAGATACACAAGTATTGGCTAGGCCAAGCAAACTAGATTAGGAGTTTCTAGCCCAAGTTTTCAAATGAATCATAGGGGTGGACAGTTATTATTCATTGCCAACTTTTCAACACAAGTTTGCTAAATTTTATGAAATTCTCCTAATTAAAGATAATTTATCATCATGTGATATTAACTTTAGCAATTAGTGTAAATAATGATGCTCTATATGGCTGTACCAAGTGCATGCAGTGGATGACAAGAAACTGTTAATCTAGCATCCATGGCATTGATTTGATGGAAGTTATTGATACAGTTTTAATGAAGACAAACTACCATCATATATTTCAAAGAATCTGGTTGGTTCTCTAAAGTATAGGTCTGTTCTGAATAATAGGATTGCGATCCTGAAGCTAATGCTGGTTACTGTTGAGTGTCATTTTCTTACTTACTGTGGTTTGTTGGTGTGTATTATCAAAAAGTTGTGATATCTAACCAATAAACACCTTAGATGTAAAAAAAGGTGCAGCAAAAAAAGAACTGAGTATACGACTTAAAGGAATGAAATCAAAATTGGTGGCCAAACTGGTAGTTACACTTATAACATTGATAATAATTTTACAGCAAATATTCATTCATTAGTTAGCTAGGCCTCATATTTTGTTTGTCCATCATCATGCCCCAAATTTAACAAAAATTGCAGCCTTGCTAACTAATGAATAAATATTTGCTGTAAAATTCTTATCAGTATTATAAGTGTAGCTACCAGTTTGGCTGCCAGCTTTGATTTCATTGCTTTAAGTTGCACACTCAATCCTTTTTTGGCTGCACCTTTTATTCACACCTTAGGTATTTTTGATTATATTTTAATGTAATATGGCACCTTCCATTACTCTTTAACTTCATATTTTCACTGTTATGTTTTACTAGCATCCATTTTTGATCAAATCACCTGTTGCTATTATAACTACACTTGTGTTATGTGAAGAAAAAATATATAAATACTTTAAGTTACATAACTGTATAAGTATTAGGATCAACTATTAAATAGTGCATCAAGTTTAAATTATTCACAAATTGTGATGTTTAATTGTAAACAAACAAAGGTTTTGAGTATTTATCATTTATTTTGTGGGTCAATGGACCAAACAAGTGTTAATAATAGGGTGGGAGAGGTAAAGATGATTTTTGCTTTAGAAAATGCTTTTTTTTTATAGTGTTTCATTTCATACCCATTTATAGAGACTGTACACTGGTGTGCTAGCTCTGGTACAACTGTAAAGTATCAGTTCTACAACCATGACTGTCATAATAACGTATAATGTTATGAAAAAAAAAAGAGATAAAGGGATATATATATATCCAAATGTTTCCAATCAGAACTACATGTTGTTGAAACTGAAAATATATTTGAAAGAGCATTTATTTTAAACTTCCAGCATTTTGAATAAGTGTTATAGTATATAAGAGATGTGAAAGTAAATTTAGCATTGAAAAATGAACACAGAGCAACTTATTTCACTTAATAAAAATGATTGAATAAAGCGATAATTTATTTTCATTGTTTTCTTATTTTTTTCTCTCTCTGTCAACATATTAGTATCAAATGAAGATGCTCCAGATACAGGTATTTTATCAGACTCTAGTGACTCAAGTAGTGGTAGTTCTAGTTCAGCTTCAAGTGACAGTGAAAGTGAAGCAGAAGTAGACATGCAATCTGAATCCCAACCACCACCTAAGAGTAAGTATATATGTAATAATTAAATTTTGTTCACTTAGGGACCTTTCTATCCAACTAATTGATTTCATATCAACTGTCAGCTACACTTTCATGTTATCCTGTAGGCACATAGCTTCAGAAACATTTTGTAATATCTTTTGTCCAGCTTTAGCAAGTAAAGTAAGGCAGAGCTTAGTATAAAAATTGGGGTACAGGCATTCTTCACATATGCACTATATGTATTAAGCCATACTTGTGCAGTAGCTTTCCAATATCAAGGAAAACTTTGTCTGTCTGTGAACACATCTCCTAAACGAGTTGATCAATCCAGACCAAACTTGGCATGTTAATTTGGTAGTCCAAAAGCAAACCAAATTCATATTAAACTTTCCCATATATTGAAAAATAAAAATGTTTTATAGATTAACCACAATATCATTATTGTAGTAGCTGTTGTAAATGGTTGAGTTTAAACAAAACTCACACCACAACAAAATCCTACAAGTCGGAGATTGTAAGAAAAATGTTCAATATTTTGGCTTGTTTCCCATAATAACCAAAATATACAGCAGTAATAAGATATACTGCTGCAATGTGGCAAATAAAAGTATTAATGTTAGGTTTCATCGTGGTTGACTATTCTTGAAATGGTTTAACTAAGAATTATTTGTATTTCATCATTTAGGTTTAACAGACTGATTATAAAAGATATGCTAAATTTTTAGTTTAAAAAACTCCTGTTTATATATGTAGCATTGTACTAATGTTCATCTTGAAGGCATTAAAATGCACTGCACTGTTGATTTAGGATTGTTTGTATGTTTTACTGTCATAAGCCCTACCAAAATAATTGTAACTTCTTTCATAATTCATGTTTTTGATAATTAGCAGGTTTAAAGGTATGGTACTGTCTTGTAAATGTATAAAGAAGGTCCTAATGTACATTGAAATCAGATCCTGGAAGAGTGTAATGTCAGATACAATGCTTATATGCTATTTCAAAGCTGGAAATTAAAAAAAAAAAACATTTGGATACCTCTCCAAAATTCTTAGTAGTTAGTAAAAGAAAGAAACAAATTTAAACTGAAAGTATATAATTCATTTATGAATTACTTTGTTTAAATTACATACCGATGATAGTTTGAGGTAAATATTCTGTCATAAAATATGTATATAAATTTTCAACATAATCTGATGTAGTAAAGTTATAGGAGTATATTATACAAATAAAACTACACCGAAAGCAATATTAAAAAAATGTTTCATCTATTTAAAAAGTGGAATTTTCTTTTTTTTTTATTTAGGTCAAGGTGGTAAAACTAATGGTCAAGTAGTTCAACAGTATTCCAGTCCCAGCCTTCCTAGCATGCCCAAATTTAGTCAGCTTAGTAAGTCATGCCTATCTAACTACTTTTTATTTGGTAATTTTAGGAGTGTTATTTAACTGTATTTTACTTGTCATTGCTGTATTTCTCAACAAACAAATTTTTGCTTTAGTGGTATCATTTAACTGCTGCTGTTTCATAAATCTCCAAAATAATTAATAGTGAAACCCAATACCAAACTTATATAAATCTATGAAAGTGATAAAATTTCAATTTTGTATATCATAAATAAAATGCTTTGAAATAATTAATTGCATAAAAATCTAAATATAATAACATTAAACACATTTCTTTATATTAGACCTCACTTAACTGATAGTTGAGTTTCTTAATAAAGGCTTTTTAATTTTCTAGTCTTATTTATGAATTATCACATTCCAAGAAACAGGAAAAATATGATTCTCTTAACCCTATGGATGTGAGTGTCAGTGCACGTGTCAAGACATTTTTTATAGAGTTATGTTCAAAATTTTATTGAACTACTGTAATATCAATGTATGTTAATAAACTTAGCATCAAAACATAGTTTATAATTAAAATTTTGATGTTAAGTTTTGATTCCTTAATTTCAAAAGGAAATATTTAAATAAATTCTCAGTCTTCACTGCTCTGTCATATGATGCATCTGTGCTTTCATATGCCCATTTGAGATTTCTTTATACCCCTATATGACCTTCTGAATGTCTAACTACATTACAAACACATATTATAGATATTGGTAAGACCAGAATATGAATTTAGAATCTCCAACCTTCTTACATTACCAAGATATAAATAAAAATGTCAAATCCATATGACACATACCCTTCCTGTGTCATTCTGTCTTTCAAAAAATCTCAATAATCCTCTGTGACATTTCTGTTGGACTATTTATAACCATTAGAAAGAGCAGCTTTATCTTTAGAAGATTCCTTGTACTGGTTATTTTATTTTTGCTGCTCATAATCACGTATTTTCATTGTGTATTTTCAGTTTCATTGTGAACATGTGGTTCAGCTCGAGCAGCTAATGGAAATTTTTTAAATTGTTTATTACTTAGTTAGAAAGCCAGTTGTATTAGAGTAGTTTTAGGACATCCTATTTTATTGTAGGATAATGTTTTATGTTCTAAAATGCATATTTGAAATAAATATGAACTGTTTTGTGGACAACCAACATCACAAAAAAGTAGGTTTAGAATGGCAAAAGGCCTAAGCTCAAATTGAAGTATTAATTTTTTTTTTTATTCATTGTTATACAAGTGACTAAAAGATTAAAACTAGAAACATATAAGGATAGATAGAACATTTAAATTTAAAACATGAAAATATAAAATTTCTTGTGACACTCCACATTCTACATTGAGGCAACTGCATGCACACAGTGTGATGTTATTGTAATTCAATTTTTTGCTTACACAGAGCTGTCCCACTGTGATAAATGGTTTTAGCATAATCAGAAATGATTTAAGTATAGCATAAAGCAATAAAACTAAATGAAACCAGATGTGAAAAAACTATTAGCTGAGGCTGTAAGAATAAATAAGTGTAACTGTCTGTCACAATATGCAGTCATTATAGAAAGAAAAAAGGTAATTTACACTTATTTCATATTTTTCAACTTTTGGTTTGAGATTTTAATAGCTCATTGATAAATATAGAAATTTACTTATTCCACAATTTTTCCGTAGAACAGTTGAGTGTGTAGAAATTTAATGTGGTTCATTTTTAATACTAAATACCCATTTTCCAATTGGGAACAAGCTAAATCCTCACTTTTGTGAATTTTAGTCAACATGAAAAGCTTGGTTTAAAATTAAAATTCAACAAATGGTCGTTTTTCATGAAATAATTTATTATACTTTTCCACCAAAGTTTTTTTTTTCAAAACAATTTTTCATCGATTTCCTTTTTCCTTACTTCTGTATGACAAAATTTTATGTTACGTCACTATTATCTTGTAATTGTCCAGCAGCAAAATAACAGCTGTACTACTTTTGTCTGCTTTCTAAATAACTGATTTTCTTATTTTTTATCGATTTAATTATTATGTAATCATTACTCTGTAAATAATTAAATTAAGTTAACTGTACTCTAGGTAAGATTTTCAGTTTAGTGACATAGAGAATCTAACTCAATATTCTACCTTTATGTGGTATAAATTTTGACTTGTTTTGCAAAATGATTTTTTTTTCTGTGTCTTCCTCATTGAAGAATTATTCTAGTAGTCTTAATTTTCTGATGAATTCTTTCAAATCCACTTCATTTTGGACATCACTAGTAATAGTAGTATAAAAGCACAACAGAGCAGACTCTATTTATTGTTTAAATTTAACTTTTAAAATTGCCTATTATTGGTTATTATTATTTTCCATTGTTTGTTTATTTTTGTTCAGTCTTATTTTACTCAAAATATTGTAAAGTGTTTATAGTAGTTTTTTGTTCATTATATCTTGATCTATCCACCATTCTATATCCATATCTATTTTCTTACAGTTTCATTATACTCATTGTCTCTATTAAACTGTATATCCTAGCTAACAAGTAGATTGAAATCTATCTTTGTATCACTACTTCTAATTTACAATTTTATTACTCATGGAAGTACCACAAATAACAAATGCTACTACAGTTTGATAAAATTTCAAAATACAAAGTATTTCTTCTGGAAGCTTGTAGAATCCTTAATAGTTTGTTTTTTTAATTTGTAATTTTTGGTTTTGTTTATACTTTAACACAATAATTCTACTCACCTAAATCTTGACTACCACATCTATCCAAAAACTGTTCATGTTCTTTTATTACTCTGGTTAACTAGAGTTTTTACTTACAGTGTACATTAAGTAATGATGTATTTTATTTCTGTGTGCAGCATTTTCAGAGAAATGCAGACCAATACTTGATATAACACAAGATTTTTTTATGAATTAATAATTACTTTTCGACACTGTGAAAATATTTATGTATCTTATTGGATGCATTAACACCAAAAGAAACTTAAGTTGCTCAACATATCACAGTACTTAAGATTTATAAGCTAGATTTCAGCCAGATGGTACAGCCAACATTTATAGTACAATAAGGAATTCAAGGGTTGGTGTGTATTAATATATATATATGTATGTATGTGTGTGTGTGTGTGTGTGTGTATGGAATAGTGTTTATATCTTTTAACTCGACTGTTCTTTACAAAAATGTTTATAATCACAAGTGATTTTATTCAACTTATAAGTTGTT